GGGATCATGTGGTGCTCCTCCTGTCCACATGTACTGCCCTGGGCCTGTTGATAAACAGCACCAAGTCCACGTTAGTCCCGGTCCAATGCATAGAGTTTATCGGGGCGCTACTGGACACGACATCAGCCAGGGCCTCTCTCCCACCAGACAGTTTCAAGACCCTGAAAGGGCTCATCGACTCGGTCACAAGGTTCCCAGTGACAACAGCCAGGGCTTGCCTGCAACTGCTGGGTCACATGTCTGCATGCGCATATGTGGTCTGTCACGCCAGACTCAGAATGAGGCCCCTCCAGCTCTAGCTGGCCTCGCGGTTCTCCCAGGCCACAGACAGAATGGACAAAGTCCTCATCATGCTGAACTCTGTGATCACCTCCCTGCGGTAGTGGTCAGTCCCAACCAACATGCTCCAAGGGGTCCCATTCAGAGTCAGGGCCCCATCTTTGGAGCTGGTGTCCGACGCGTTGGACCTGGGTTGGGGGGTCCATGTGAGGAACTTTCAGACCCAAGGCCTGTGGTCTTTACAAGACCTACCCCTTCATATAAACTTCAAGGAACTCAGGGCGGTGTGACTGGCATGTATGGCCTTCCGCTCACACCTGGAGGGCAAGGTAGTCCAGGGTCCTCACGGACAACATGGCCTCGATGTTCTATATCAACAGGCAAGGAATGTGAGGGCGGATCACTTGAGCAGGGATTTTTCCTCTCTGCACAAGTGGTCTCTACACCCAGAATTGGCTCACCAGCTCTTCCGAAGGTGGGGTACTCCCCAGGTGGACCTATTTGCGACCCAGCAGAATGGACAATGCCCCTGGCTCTGCTCCGGGGGGGCCTAGGGAGGGGCACTATCTCCGATGCCATTACCCTGTCCTGGTGAGGCCAGCTCCTCTACGCCTTCGCCCTGTTCCCTCTGATCAGCAAGGTCCTGGAGCAAATAAAGACGGACAAAGCCAGGGTCCTCCTCGTTGCCCCGGCAGCATTGGTATGGGACCCTCTCAGGGCTGGCGGTAGCTCCGCCATGGCAGTTGCCACTCCACCCGGATCTGCTCTTTCAGGACCAGGGCCGCCACCTACATCCCAACCTAGCAACGCTTCACCTCATGGTGTGGCTGCTCAGTGGCGAGGAAAGGACATGCTCGGAACGGGTTCAGCGCGTCCTCCTCGAAAGTAGACGGCCCTCCACTCGCCGCTCCTATGTGGCGAAGTGGTCTCGGTTTTCGAGGTGGGTGGCAGGCCAGGGTGTTTCCCCGACAGCTGCCCCAGTCCAGCTTATCCTTGATTACCTCCTCCACCTGAGGGCCCAGGGACTGGCACCCTCGTCAGTCAGGGTACACTTGGCGGCCATATCGGCCTTTCATCCCCCGGTGCAAGGGCACATGGTGTTTTCCCATGGTATGACCAGCCGGTTCCTTAAGGGTTTGGACCGTCTCTACCCATATTCCAAGCCCCTGGTTCCACAGTGGGACCTAAACCTGGTGCTGGCTCGTCTCACGGGGGCCCCGTTTGAACCACTGGCCACGTGTTCCTGGTCTCGGCTCTCATGGAAGGTGGCCTTCCTGGTAGCTATCTCGTCGGCCAGGCGGGTCTCGGAGCTCAGGGCCCAAAACACCGTATACGTTTTTTCATAAGGTCAAGGTCCAGCTCCCCGCGTTCCTCCCGAAGGTGGTCTCTGCCAACCACATGGGTCAGGACATTTTTCTGCCAGTCCTATGCCCCAAGCCTCACGTGACTAGTGAGGAACGCCATCTCCACATGCTGGACGTGAGATGAGCTCTGGCTTTCTACCTCGAGCAGACCAAGCTATTCAGAAAGTCTTCACAACTGTTCATCACCTTGGCTGAGCAAGCGAAGAGTCAGCCGATTTCCACACAGCGGCTTTCTAAGTGGATCACTTTGTGCATCCGTTCCTGTTATGAGCTGGCAGGGGTTCTCCCGCCGCCTGTTGTGAGGGCAGACTTGACTTGGACGCAGGCCTTATCAGCTGCCTTCATGGCCCATGTCCCCATCCAGGATATCTATAGGGCCGGCACATGGTCTTCGGTTCACACATTCACCTCACACTATGCAATCGTCTCCCAGGCCAGGGATGATGCTGGGTTCGGCAGGGCGGTACTCCATCCCAAGAACTTGTGAACTCCTATCCACCTCCAACAGATATAGCTTGGAATCACCTATTGTGGAATACACATAAGCAATCAATCACTTGAAGAAAAAACAGTTACCTTTTCTTGGGGGGAGGGAGAGCTCAGTGGTTTGAGCATTGGCCCGCTAAACCCAGGGTTGTGAGTTCAGTCCTTGAGGGGGCCATTTAGGGATCTGGGGCAAAAATTGGGAATTGGTCCTGCTTCAAGCAGGGGGTTGGAATAGATGACCTCCTGAGGTCCCTTGCAACCCTGATATTCTATGATTCTATGATGTTCTTCAGGATGTGTTGCTCATGTCTATTCCACATCCCATCCTCCTCCCCCTCTGTCAGAGTCGTCTGGCAAGAAGGAACTGAGGGTGGGGGAAGCACAGCCCCCCCTTATACCGCACCAGGCAGGCACTGCTCCAGGGGTCACGGGGGGGGGGGGGGTGCTCCCCCCTACAAGTACTGCTTGGGGAAAAACTTCCGGCACCAGTGCACATGGCAAGTACGCACACCTATTGTGGAATAGACATGAGCAACACATCTCGAAGAACACCAGTTACGGAAAAGGTAACTGTCTTTTTCCCATAGCCAAGGGCAGATCTCAAAGGGGAGAGCTCTTTACCGCTAACAGATGCTATGGTGCCCATGCAGTGAGTTCTCATGCAGCTGCTCGCTCAGAATTAGCGAATGCTGATGCCACAAGCTCAGGTGTCTGGTTGTGTTTTCATAGCTGGTACAGATATTCCTGCTTCCAGGCTGTGACCGTATGGGAAGCACTAGGGGAAAAGCCTAGACAGCCAGCCAGCAAGACCCCAGTTCAGCAAGGCAAAGAAGCACATGGTCAGTCCCAGAGGTCATCAGGACTCCTCCTAGACTCAAAGTGAGGCCTGTACCGAAGGAATCTGCTTCCAAGGCTGTAGAGTATCAAGGAGCTAGTCTGTTACTTGCCTGGGTCTCTGTTTGTTCCCTTCCCAGCCCTGACAGGGAGGCCCCAGACCGCCATGGGATTGAGCAGGATTTATCTCATCTGCCAGGTGGCCGGAGCTCCCTGGAGCACACACTTGAAGGAGCCCAGGGCTCCCTCAGGGCATGTCCGTGTGGAAAAGCTTCCCCGCTGTGCTTAAATGAGTGCAGTTAGACTGGTGCAAACCCCCTTGTGGCCCCTCTGGCTCCAGGATAAAAGTAACTTTGGAGGGCTTTAGCTAAACTCCTTCCAAAGCGACACAAGCTGAACGCTCCCCCTTATCCCAGCATGAGTGTTAATGGTGGGGGGCATATGGCACGCTGGTTCAGCATTCACCGGGGGTGGGGAGGGGGTATATGGTGCGCTCATGCAGCATCCCCCAGGAGGGGGGATCCGTATGGGGCGCCGATGCAGCATCCCCCAGGAGGGGGGATCCGTATGGGGCACCGGTGCAGCATCCCCCAGGAGGGGGGATCCGTATGGGGGCGCTGGTGCAGCTGTCACTTTACATTGCACTTTACACCTGGCTTATACCGGTATCGCTTTCCCACGTAGACGAGTGCTCATGCGTGGAGCCTGGACTGTGGCTGAGCACTGGCACAGAACGGGGTCCTGAGCTGCGTGCCCAGTGCCAGGGCATCCCAGGCTGTTCTCTGGGCAGAGCCAGGAAGGGCCTTACTGCAGAACTGGGGTTAGGCTCCTGCCAGCCCTGTGACCAGTGGGGGTTGGTGGCGAGGACTCCCCCACCTGGCCAGCCCCGGGGCGGCCCCTGCTGAGTGAGGCTGCACATGTGCAGTGCTGGTTCTCTCCAATCCAGCTCCCCTTGGAGAGGAGCGTGAGACCCACAGTGGTGGGGAAGGGGAAGGGACTGAGGAGCTGGGGGTGGATCCACCTGGGGGCTGCGCTTCCTGATGCTGAGCCCACAGCTGGATGTGTCAGGAGGCAGCACAGGGCGAGGCTGTATGCTGGGGAAGTGGGGAGGGCAGGGGCCCAGCAGGCTGTATCCAGCGCCCGGTTCAGGGATCCAGGCGAGCGCTCCCTGCCCACCACCCACCCCCAACAGGAGGAGGCATACAAGGGGGCGGTAAGTGTGAACAGAGTGAGGAAGCGTGTGGGAGAATGAGGGAGAGGGGCCAGTGAAGAAATGTGTTCTGCGGGGAGTCAACTGCACTGGGAGATCGGTTCGGTTCCCAAAGTCAGGGGAGAGTTCGTGGGTCCTTTCCTGTCTGGCTGTCTCTGGTGGGATTCAAGCACCAAGTGGTCAGTCTGATTGTTTAGGTCTGTGGCTGAGACCCCATCTCATGTGTAGACCCTTGTCCTGAGATCACCCGTATCTTCCCTGGGCGGGGGGCTCTGCTCCAGGTGTCACCATCTGAGAACCTCCCAGCTGGAGCAGGATGGAGACTCGGACAGGGCCTCAGTAGCAGTTCCTCTGTGACCCATGTGCAATCTCGGGCAAAGCCACGCTCCGAGCTGTCTGGGGGAGCAGCAGTGTCTGGCTCTGGGGCTTCAGGTGTTGTCCTCCATCCCCACTGGGAGTCTGAGCGCTGTGCTGGGCCAGCTGGCAGGAGTGGGATGGTGGTAACGCAGGGGCATGGGAACAGTGCCCTCGTTCTGTCCCCGCAAGGACGCCCTTGTCGGCATTTGTCAGGGTTGAGGCCTGTGTTTAACTCATCCACCAGTGACCAGCTCTGGGCTTGGCTGCGTTCTGAGCTCCCCTCCGAGGCGCTGAGAGCAGGGTCTGGAGGGCAGCCGTGGGTTAGTGGTGTAGGGCTGAAGAGCAATTGGGTGAATGGCTGAACTCGGCTGAGAACATAAGAGGTGGGGGAGGCTGAGACGCCAGGTAAGCTGCTCCACCAGATGCAGCCTCACCAGGATGGGCATTTCACCATGTGCCTCTCTCTGCAGATGATGTAAAGGGCCAGGCCGGCAGCCCAGCAGTGCCACCTTCCTCGCCCTCCTCCCCTGCCCAGTCCTCAGAGGATGTCCCGGACAGCCAGGGGGGCTATTCCCTGAGACCCAGGGGCCCTGCAGAGGAGCGTTCAGCAGAGGAGGAGGAGGGAGACTCCCCTGGTGGCTCCACGGAGGAGAGCTCAGCAGAGGGGGAGGAGGAAGATGCTGAGCCCCCTCCGCAGCGGCAGAGGAAGCGGGGTCCCCAGGGAGGGACGGCTCCGCGTGTCTACCCATGCCCCACCTGCGGCCAGAAGTTCGCCAACAGCAGCAACATGCGGAAGCACCTGCGGATCCACACGCGGGAGGCGCTGTACTCGTGCCATGCCTGTGGCAAGTCCTTCACCGACTCCTCCAACCTGGCCAAGCACCAGCGCGTGCACAGCGGGGGCCGGGAACGCCCCTTCAGCTGCTCCAAGTGCCCCAAGGTCTTCGCCTCGGCCCCCGATCTGCAGGAGCACCTGCGGCGCCATGAGGGCATCCGGCCCTTCCCCTGCATGGACTGCAAGCGCAGCTTTGTGTCGCAGGCAGAGCTGCTGGCGCACATCCGCAGCCACGTGGGGCAGCCCCAGACCCTGGCCCCCAAGCCCTTGCTGCGCTGCGAGGACTGCGACAAGAGCTTCGCCGGCCCCATGCTGCTGCGCCTGCACCAGCGTCGCCACAAGGCCTTTGTGTGCGACGAGTGCGGCGCTGTCTTCACCCTCGAGTTCAAGCTGCTCTTCCACAAGAGCTTGCACAGGGGGCCGCAGACCTGCGTGCGCTGTGGGGTGCAGTACACGGGAGGGCACTTCTGCCGGGCCCAGGCCCGGGCCCAGCCCCAGCCCCAGGCCTCCCGGCCGGCACAAAACAACACCAGGAGTCCAGGGACCGCGTCACTCATGGTCAGAGTCCCTGACTCTGTCTCGACAGCAGGATCCGCCCTGGCCAGGCCCCCAGCCCCACTAGCAGCCAGGTCCCCAAGCTCTGCCCCAGCTGGCCCCCCAGGCTCTGCCCCGGCCAGGCCCTCAGCCCCACTAGCGGCCGGGCCCCCAGGCTCCGCCCTAACCAGGCCCGCAGCCCTGGCCCCACTAGCAACTGGGCCCCCAGGCTGTGCCCAAGCTGGGCCCCTAGCCCCACTAGCAACTGGGCCCCGAGGCTCTGCCCCAGCCAGGCCCCCAGCCCCAATAGCCGCCAGGGCCCCAAGCTCCATCCCAGCCAGGCCCCCAGCCCAAGTAGCAGTGAGGCCCCACAGCTCAACCTCAGTCTCAGGCCCTGGCCTCTGTCTCAGTCCCCACAGCTCAACTACACCGATGGCCCTGGCCCCTGTCTCAGTCCCCTTGACCATCCCTCCCTCAGACCCAGTCACAGGAGTGATAAGTAACGGTCTGATCCTACTGAACCCAGCAACCTTGCCTCCGGGCACCAAGATCATCCTTCAGATCCCACCCCAGATGGTCGTGCCCCCCAGGGCCACAGGCACGAGAGCCGGGAGTACCCACGCACATACTCTGCAAGGACCTGTGCCCGGAAGGATGCGAGTGCTGCGCCCAGCCCCAGGTACCGTATACCGACACCAGGGCACAAGGCTTCACTGTCGGGCAGGTCGGCTCCTGCTTCCCAGCCTCCGCTGTCAGCTACTGCAGGGAGGTCGGGCCCCAGAGCAATTCTCGTGTGGCCCCATTTGTTACAAAAGCTCGGTGTGGCTTGTGCCAGCAAGATGGCTGCCCTGCCTTCCTGGCTAGGGCTGGGCCATGCCCTGTGCTGAGCATGGAAAGGGGGGATGTGCCAACCACAAAACGAGCCGATTGCCTCCCTGCCTGGGGGGGCTGGATTCATGTCACTTGGGGCCCAGGGAAAGCACTGGAAATATGGAGGATTGCCCCAAGCACATATGCCTTTCTGAGCAAGGGAGGCTCTACCGTAGCTCTCCTTGCCTAGAGTTGGGGGGAGGGCAGTGAGGGGGGCCTTTTAAGGGGGAAAGGTTTGGGGGTCAGCCCCAGAACTCCCTGCTGAAGTCATGGGGGTGCACAGATTGGGACATCAGAATTTGGCCCTCACCTCCATCGGGGACCCCCTTTCCATCGGGTTCGGGGGCTGAATCCTCTGTCTAACTCCTCTCCCCTGCCAGAGCATGCTTCCTCCTTGGGGGCTGGGCCCTCACTGCCCATTCAGAGGGGCTGTTATTTGGACCAGGAAGGGTCATCCACCCGCCACCTCCCTGACCTGTCTCCTCTTTGCTTTGCAGCCAAAGCTCAGGGGCCAGCAGGAGGACAGCACGGTGAGCTCACCAGCAGCAGGACGGCAGCAGAGAAGGGGAACGAGGCACAGCCCCTGCCAGTGGCAGCCCCATCCCAGCCCCTGCAGCCCGCCCCACCATCAGCCCCCCTGCAGACCTCCCCTCCCTCAGGCCCACCACCCCCTTCAGCCCCTCCACAGCTGCCAGGCCCCTCCAAGGAGCTCTGGGCTGAGCAGGGAGCGTGGCACAAACCCTACAACTTCCGGCATTCCCAGCCCCAGGTGACATACACGGAGCAGGGAGCAGGGGAGGGCAGCGACCCCGGGGGAAGCTCTGGGGAGGACTGGGCAGGAGAGAGCGGGGACGAAGAGGACGAGGAGCTGGAGCCTGTCCCCCAGGGGAAGAGGCGAGGCCGCCCCCCCATGAAGCAAGGCCAAGGCCAGCCCCCCAAGAAGCGGAGGCGAGGCCAGCCCCCCCTGGGCCCCTACATCTGTGGGGTCTGTGCCAAGCGCTTTGTGTACCAGAGGTCACTGAAACACCACATGCGGCTCCGCAGGCACCATCCCTCCTGCCACCAGTGCCATGCCACCTTCAGCGATCTCCCCAGGCTGCAGCTCCATCTGCTCAGCCACCGGGGGGAGGGCATGGCATGAGCGGGCATGGGTGAGGCTCAGAGCACACCACTGCTGTGCCTACCCCCCAACCCCTGTGGGGGCCCTCAGTGCAAACACCCCCTTGCTCTGCTCCTGCAGCCCCACCCCATTGCAGAGCAGGCAGTTGTGTTGGGGTGTTTGGACTGAGCTGTCTGACCATCCTGGGAGAAACTACACCCAGACGTCTCTTCTCTGGCCTGGCCTTCCACGTGCCACTCTGCCCTGGCACCCATGGTGTCCTCAGGTCCTCCACCCCTTGGATTCCCCTGTGTCACAGGGGGCAGGGCAGGGCCTCTTCTCACCTGAAATGCTGCTGCCCTCTCAGTTACTCCGCATAAAAAGCTGCCCTGAGGCTCGCTGGGGGCTGCGTGTGCTTTGTGTGTTAGGGGTGGGGACCAGTGACTTGTTTTTTCATGTCCCCCACTGCATGGCCAAGCTTGGACACAAGAGTGGAAAGGCCCCTGCCCTGCCCCTCTGCCTTAAGGGGTCAGGTGGAGCAAGACACACACGACTGATTTTATTTTTTATTATTAAAAAAAAATGTTTTTAAGCAAATTGTTGTATTTGTGAGTCCCCTGCCTGCTCAGCAGACCACGGCCAGCCTTTCAGGTGGCTGCTGGATTCAGGTGCCTTGGGTTTGGGGAGCCCGGCAGAGCCCTGGTCTTCCCAAGCTGCTGAGAACCTGCCCCAGTCAGCACAAGGTCTCCAGCTGGGCTCCCCCAACCAGTGGCTGCCTGTGTGAATTGATCCTTGTGTGGGGGCTCCTGGTTCCTGCAGGGCCCTGTGCCCTGCTGCTCACATTGCAAAGCCCCTGCCAGCGCTGGTGGTTGAGCAGAAATTGCCATCAGTTCTGCCAGGTTTCAATCGCAAGGGGGGAGATGTCCCCTGTGGGGCTGCAGGGGGGTTAGTGTTCCATGTTAAGACATGCGGAGGGGGACTGCTGGTGTACTGAGAGCTCCCAGGCTGGGCTGGCAAACAGCCCCAACCTCGTCTGAGTTATTTGGGGCAGAATGGCAGGTAGAGGCCCCAGCCACTGTCAGGCCTTGCACAAACTTAGTAAGAAACCAGCCCCTGCCTCAAATTGCTCGGGGTCTAAAGGGATAAGACCAGAGGTGGGAGAGGACACTGAGGTGCCAAGATGGGTGAAGTGAAATGGCCCTGGTCACACGGCAGCTCAGAGGCAGAGCTGGATGCGAATTGTCCAAAAGTGTTTGGGGGGAGTTCAATGCCAAGTCACTGAGGCAGTAGCTTTTGTGGGAACGTGTCTGTATATAACAGGCGCACGGTGGGATGGTTCCAGGGCATTTCTGAAAACAAGAGACCCCTCGAATAGCCCTGTGATGAAGCACCCAGCTGGGATGTGCCTGATTGATTCCAAGAAGGGACTTCAATATGGCTCTCCCAGGGAGGGCCCTGGCCATGGGGCTGTTGGCTGTAACATGCTGCCATTTGAATGCCTGGTAACACAGGGGCCTCCCCGGTTGCTATCATGTCTGTTATTGAACTAGGAACTCACCCACAAGCAAGCTGTGTTTAAAAGTGGCTGGGAAAGCACGTCCTCCTGTTGGTTCTGCTGCTCCGAGCCCAGCTCTGCGGCACAGTGCCGTCCTCCTTGAGTGTTTGGTGGGTTTACGCCCCGTTAGTTTCCCTGCTGGTGTTACCACTTGCTGGAGCTGGGGGTTGTAGCTGGACTCCTGTGTGACGTGGCATGTGGCCCTGCAGGCGAGGCTGCCCTGGTGGGCCGTGAGGTGCAGAGGGGAAGAGCTGGGGCTCAGGCTATTTGTCTCTGATGTTTCCACTGTTCATCTACCTCAGTGCTGAATTGATTATTTGTATTACTGTTGTGCCTAGGAGCCCTAGTTACAGCCCAAGGCCAAACCTCTGCAGTGGCTGCTGGGCCAGGCAGGCACATCCAGCCCACTCTTCCTGGTCCGGGATGTCCTCACCTCTCCATCTGGGGGGGGCTACCAGCAGCCACAGAGCCAAGGGAGACCAAAAACGGCGTGATTGCATCCTACACTGACTCAAAATCCACATCACACAAGGCCAGGGCTGCACCTATGAGGAAAGGGCAGGCCTGGGGATTACAAAGGAGCCCAAGGGAGTTAGGTGCCCAAAGCGATGGGTGTCTAAGGGTTCCTGAGCCTGTCTGGGATATCTCTGCAACCCCAGTGCACCCATCGCTGTGTGGCACTCGGCTCAACACCAGCTTGGCTTTGTTCCAAGGCCACTTGCTGGCTCTTCTGTTTTGCCCCTTAACTGTTAGTGCCCGAGCTCCTAGCCTGTCATTTTCTCAGTGGGGCACCCAGAGCCATGGTTCCTGTTGCCCAGATCCTCCATCAAGCAATCTGCACCACCCAGGTTCAAGCAGAGAGGGAAATATGGGTAACGGGAACTGCTGAGGCAGAGGAGAGGGCAGGAGGCTACACAGCTGGGAGTTGGCCATGTGATACAGAAGCCCCAAAAAGGCCAGCAGGGCTAAGGCCAGGGCCAGGGCCACCTGTGTCTGCAACACTTGTGACAGCTCAGCAGGTATCCTGTGCTTGGCTAGGGGCCCCTCGCTATCACAAAGGGGAACGCTGGGCTGGGCTGGACAGATGCTGCGGGAAAGCATAGAGACCGAAACCCACGTGGCTGGGCTATGGGACAGGGAGGGAGCCGGCGCGATGCTGGGTCTTACAGCTCTCCCAGGGTCAGAGCACCCCTGGCAACGGAGTCACTTGGCCTGGGCTAAAGGGCTGCCAGAGGTGAGTGGGGAAGGAAAGCCGATGCTGGCAGGATGAGATGGCTCAGGGCGCTGAATGGGGTTTGCTTCTGGGCTCTAGTCTCTGCTCCCACGCTGGCAGCCCTGCAGGGGCCAGGCTGGAATAATTGGGTCGGGAAGCGAAGGGGTGGCAAAGCCCATTATTGGGGAGCAGGATTTTGCTGCACATACTTTACAGCGTGGGGATAAATAACGTTGGCAACGTACATACCAGGTAGGGTGCAGACGGCGTCATGGGAAGTAGTTTGCGGGGGTGCCTGCTTCATGTCATCCTTGTAGGGCAGCATTGCTGGGGTTCAGGGGCAGGTGTACCCAGTGCCCCCTCCCCACCTCGGCTGCCAGAAGGGCGGGGCTGAGGGAGGCTGTGTAGCTGTAAGCTACGGGGAGGGGGTGTTTATGGAGCAGCTCCTCAGACAAAGGCTCATGCGAAATCCCCCAGGACCTGAGGGGTAGCAGCCATGGCCTCCAGCCAAAGCACTGGAGGAGCATGAGCTAGTTACTGGGGGAGCCAATCCCATCTCCCCAGAACCCCACCCCTTCCAGGCTAGAGCCTCACGCAGGGGGGCTGGAACAATCCATACAGGGGGGCTGAGAACCACTGAACCAAACCGTAAACCCTGGATATGATGGAAACCACTTCAAGGCAGGGGGTGTTGCAGCATGGGCGGGCTGTGCTGTGCTGGGGGTCTGCAGCTGAGCCAGGGCAGAGCATGAAGCCATGAGCCTAATTATGGCTGCACTGCAGCCTGCCTGGCTTGGGCTGCCTCACCCCCACTCCCCAGCACCCTGCCAGCCCAGGGCTGGACATTCGCTCAGGGTAGCGTCCCCTTTGGGCAGTGCAGGGGCACCCTTAGTGGTTCTACTCGTTGAGCTGGTGGGCCGGTGGCTGGGGGACATGACCCGGTGCCCAGTGGAGCACCTCTCCCCCTGTGCAGAATGAGTCTGGTATGGGCCAGGGGAGCAGGGGCGGGGCGGCTCTTACAGCTGGCTCGTGTGCATCAGGGGGGTACGTGCGCAGAAGCATGTGGCTGGGGGAGAGGTCTGTGCAGTGCGTGTGGTGAGAGGGGTGTGTGCATGAGTGTCCATGTACAGGGCTGTCCAGGCATGCGTGTGTGCAGAAACGTGGCTGGGGGGAGGTGTGTGCATGCACATATATGGGTGCAGTGTGTGTGCTAGGAGATACGTGTCCATGTACAGGGATGGGGGTTCATAGCAGGGAGTACGGGGGGGTGTGGGGGGGTGTGCGCGCACATGTGCTCCAGGCGGGGGTTGCATGTAGAGGTGGGCATGTGCACGGTGAAATACATGGGGGGGGTAAGGAGGGGGAGGTGCAGCATGTGCCCGGGGAGACATGTGAAACGCAGGGCGCTGGCTCCAGCCCCAGGAAGGCTTTGGCTCAGACACACTCTGGCCAGGGCTAGGCTAGGCAAACAGGCCGAGCGTTGAACAAACACGACGTTAAGCAGGACGTGGCACCGTGGCTGGGCCATGCAGAGCGGTTTTCCCAGGTCATACTCTCTGCCCCCGGAGGAGCCTAGACTCGGGGGCATTTCTCAGGGGATTTCCCCTGGTCTCCCCCCAGTACTAAGGGCCACCCAGTCAATGCAGTGCAATTGGCACCATTGCAGAGCCCCAGGGCCGGGCATGCCCTGGCCCCATGAGCCTTACACCAGCTGGGCAGAGGGGCAGGCTGCAGGAGCAGAGCCATCCCCAGTGACACAGGACCCAGCCTCCAGGCAGGAGCTGCCACCTCATGGCCTGTACTGAAGCTAGCTGTGCAGCTCAGCAAGCGTGTAGGACAAATCGGGCACCCTGGGATGCTACGGCTGCACAGGGAACCACTGGCTAGACTGTCCATTCTCTTGTCCCTCCATGGGCTCCTGCTACTGGAACTAAAGGAGACTCTCCCCCAGGTGTTAACAGTATAGGGCCTATGACACAGCTGAGCACCCAATCCAGCCTTCACTTTCATTCTGCCACAGAAGCATCTCCTCCTCCACCTCATCTGTAGCTCAGGAGCGTGGTGTGTTCCACACAGACATGCCTTTGGGGCCATGGGGGCCTTCACTGCGAGGGCCGGCCAGCCTCCTGGCCTGCATGAAACAAACTGACAGAAAGCACCTGAAATGTTCACCCAGGCCACTAGCTGGGGTGGTCGGACACAGCGGGAAGAAGGCATCTGACTGCTATGCCGGGCATTGGGAGAAAGTAGCTGCATATGGCCTGGCTCTACCGCTGAGGCTTTGAAAGTGGCTTATAAATGGGGGCACATGTAACAAAGGGGCAAACTGCGATCAGGCTGGATTACGACCTGCCCAGCGAGTCAAGCGCAGTCAGCCCTGGAACCCAGGAACCCTGCTGCTGAGTCCTGTGATTCACATGACACCATGTCAGGCAGGCAGCTCCTGCGACATGTTTGGAGGATAAGGAAGTGGGAGCTTGGATGTTAATCCCATGAGGAGCAAGAGCACGGGCCAGGAGTTGCATGGCCCAGGGCAGCTTCTGTGACTGTCCCGGTCTGTGCCTCAGTTTCCCCTTTGGTGCACTGGGGTACACAGTGCTCACAGCACAGCTAGTTCAAACCATTGCCCTCCACAGGTGCACCATGCTGGGGCTCAGCCTCCCTACAGGGGCACCTGGCTCCCCCGCACAGGCTTGTGGGCGTTGTGCGTGCGCTATGCGGCACATCAGTCCTGGTGTGGCGACAGCCCCGTCATAAGAGCAGAGATGCTCGTCCCAGCT